TCATGTTTAAATAAATAATCATTTTATAGACATATAAAATAGTTTTATAGTATTTCAACAGAGAAAGAGGAGGATCCAATTGTGTATTAAAATAATATACAGCCTAATTTATATATTTAGATCTACGTTTACACATTAATAACGTTTGCACTTCAGTGACGCCGCTGCATGCAAAAAATTTCGACTTCATTGTTGTCAAATGTATAGAAGTCTTTGTTCAATATAATTTGCTTTGGGAAGAGGCAAGACTGAAATTATAATCTGTGCACATAAAATCGTAGGCCATTCACTTTGCTTACTAACTTTATGTACGTTAAATATTGTATAAGCAAAATGTTTCCATTCTTTTCTTAGGAGTCACAAGCATGTCTCTGTTGTGAAAACAGATGGTTCCTTGACTTATTCTGTGAGAAACTTTTGTCCATTTGAAATTGTCATTGTGTGAGGTCGGCAATACAAAGATAAAATACTGAGAAATTAACTGGAAGATATAAAAAAAAATGTATTTCTATTGTCTTGTTTTGGACTTTTCCAACTTGTTATTATGCTTGGGGAATCTTGTTAGGTTAGATATTAATGATCTATTTTGTTTATATTTTAAATAAAATTTTTAAAAAATCAATTAGACATTATTTAATATGATATGTAATTCTATTCTCTTGCTTAATTGTACTTTTTATTAGATGAAAAACAAATCGAATAGTAGTAAACTTTAGTATTTTGCTTGAGATATGTTCAATTTGTTTAAACTTCTGACATTTTTACAAGGAATAATTAATTCTAAGCTATAGTTTTTCATTAAAAAGTTTAGCAAGTTTTAAATATTTTATAACTTATTATGTCTTTAAAAATGGTTTCATCCGTTTATTTTCTCCTGGAAGTGAAAGTAAGAAATATTTTTATTCATTTAGATTGTTATTTTAACAAACTAATAATTATTTAATTTAGTTTAATAAAATAATAATTAATTCAAATTTTTAAAAGATTTATATCATTTTACAGTTTCTTAAGTTAGAGAATTAATATCAAAGAATTTTTGATAGTAATTATGTTATATATGGTAAAGTGCCTATCAAATGTATGTTAACCATCAGAAATATAGCATATTTTCATAATTTATTAGTAAAATTCTTTTATATTTTGCATATTTATTTATTAAGATTTTTATTTTGATTTTTAATAACCTACTAACAAAGAAATTATTAAAAAAAAAAAAAAACAATTATTTACTTTATATTTTTAAAAATCTAGTAATAAAATATTTCTTAATATTTTAATACATATTTTAATTTTGTAACAGTTTATAAAATAATCATAAATAAGTTTATTAAATAATTGTAAAAGTTAATTCTCATAATTATTCTTCTCTTAAATTGATTATCTTTATATAAATAATTTTAAAATTTTAAATTAGTTTTTAATACATATTTAATTTATAATTAAAAATAAATAAATTATATTGCCTATTTTTTCCTGTTTTTTTTATTTATTATATTTTTTATACTTAAACTGTTACATTGTACACCGTTTAAGATAGGCGACGCTTATCTATTTTTATAATTGAAAATATTTGACAGATTATAAAATTGATAAAATATAAAGTATGTTTTCACATCACGTATTGATGACAGGAAGCTTTTCTATCACGAAAATGTGTGACGTCACGAAAGGAGAAGAAGAAAAGCGTTAGATTGGTTAGGACCATGCAAGAGGACACATCACGATATCCAGCAATAGATAGCATCTCGACATCTTCTTGATAGATGACTTGAAAATGACGTAATTAAATACAGGTATCACTGTCACGCTCTTTTCTGCTTCTTTACAAAAAAAAAAGACAAGAAAAAAAATTTTTTTGGTACATCCTTGGTCACGTGATTGAATTTTCACTTCAAAATGAAACAGTTTTAATAACAGTTAGATTGAGTTTCGCTAAAATAATTGACAGAGTGATTAATCATGTCGACCTTTTTTTCTTTTTTTAATTTAGAAATAAGATTAAAAAAATAATCAGGAAATATCTTAAAATATATATTATGAAAATAAACATTGGCAAAGTGTTTATTTTTATAAAAAAATCGTTTTTCTTTTCTTTTTTTTAGATGAATTGGATTTTTTAAACGGTTTTTCCGTCAAGTTTGTACGGAAGGAAAACAATTTACATTCGTTTTTTATTTAACAATATCTTAAACCTTTATATATTAATTTTTAAAAGAAATTTATTTATTAGTAATATTTTATATAACATATATAATTATAAATTTGTTTTAGATAACAAAAAAATAAAAAAAAGAGAAAGGATTTGAACAGAATTCATTCTTCAATCCTCTTGAGGGATGCTTTTTTCTAAAGATGTTAAACTCGATTTCTTTCTACTGAAGAATGAAAGAACTTGTATAAGAAAAGAAGGTGTCGCAGTTTTAAAAACTATACGTCAGCATTTAAAAAGTATGAGAAATGATAAGCACTGAAAGAAACAATTATTGTACCACCTGTATGACGTCATTGTGTCTCCAGGGGTGCAGCACCGACGAGTAACAAACCCATCCCTAGAACGAAGGTGGGAAGTAGGCAATTAAAGTGCCATTATGGAGGTTATCATCGATCTTAATTCTAATTCTCAAACTTGGGAATCCGATACAATCATTTATCAAGTAATGTGTGATGGCTTGATTACCCACTGCTCTTTTAATCATACTAACCAGACATCGTTCTTTCTTTCATTTCATAAATGCCTTACACAATATGAGGCTTTATTTTTTTTATTTTATTTTTTTGGGGTACCATTCTGATTAATACTTTCTTAAAAATTATACTTAAACAGATATTATCTAATTTTTTATATATATAGGCTATATATACACTTGCATAATGCATCGTAGAATCTTTTGCATTACTAAGTCATTATCTGTAATTTAATCTATGGAAAATTTTAATATTTATATCGATATATATTTTGAGGTTATCCTTTTTGAAATTTAATGTTTGCGCCTTGCAGGAATAATGTAGTTTATGTTCTTTTTAAGATTTTTTCCTTTTTTTTTTTTNTTAATAACCTACTAACAAAGAAATTATAAAAAAAAAAAAAAACAATTATTTACTTTATATTTTTAAAAATCTAGTAATAAAATATTTCTTAATATTTTAATACATATTTTAATTTTGTAACAGTTTATAAAATAATCATAAATAAGTTTATTAAATAATTGTAAAAGTTAATTCTCATAATTATTCTTCTCTTAAATTGATTATCTTTATATAAATAATTTTAAAATTTTAAATTAGTTTTTAATACATATTTAATTTATAATTAAAAATAAATAAATTATATTGCCTATTTTTTCCTGTTTTTTTTATTTATTATATTTTTTATACTTAAACTGTTACATTGTACACCGTTTAAGATAGGCGACGCTTATCTATTTTTATAATTGAAAATATTTGACAGATTATAAAATTGATAAAATATAAAGTATGTTTTCACATCACGTATTGATGACAGGAAGCTTTTCTATCACGAAAATGTGTGACGTCACGAAAGGAGAAGAAGAAAAGCGTTAGATTGGTTAGGACCATGCAAGAGGACACATCACGATATCCAGCAATAGATAGCATCTCGACATCTTCTTGATAGATGACTTGAAAATGACGTAATTAAATACAGGTATCACTGTCACGCTCTTTTCTGCTTCTTTACAAAAAAAAAAGACAAGAAAAAAAATTTTTTTGGTACATCCTTGGTCACGTGATTGAATTTTCACTTCAAAATGAAACAGTTTTAATAACAGTTAGATTGAGTTTCGCTAAAATAATTGACAGAGTGATTAATCATGTCGACCTTTTTTTCTTTTTTTAATTTAGAAATAAGATTAAAAAAATAATCAGGAAATATCTTAAAATATATATTATGAAAATAAACATTGGCAAAGTGTTTATTTTTATAAAAAAATCGTTTTTCTTTTCTTTTTTTTAGATGAATTGGATTTTTTAAACGGTTTTTCCGTCAAGTTTGTACGGAAGGAAAACAATTTACATTCGTTTTTTATTTAACAATATCTTAAACCTTTATATATTAATTTTTAAAAGAAATTTATTTATTAGTAATATTTTATATAACATATATAATTATAAATTTGTTTTAGATAACAAAAAAATAAAAAAAAGAGAAAGGATTTGAACAGAATTCATTCTTCAATCCTCTTGAGGGATGCTTTTTTCTAAAGATGTTAAACTCGATTTCTTTCTACTGAAGAATGAAAGAACTTGTATAAGAAAAGAAGGTGTCGCAGTTTTAAAAACTATACGTCAGCATTTAAAAAGTATGAGAAATGATAAGCACTGAAAGAAACAATTATTGTACCACCTGTATGACGTCATTGTGTCTCCAGGGGTGCAGCACCGACGAGTAACAAACCCATCCCTAGAACGAAGGTGGGAAGTAGGCAATTAAAGTGCCATTATGGAGGTTATCATCGATCTTAATTCTAATTCTCAAACTTGGGAATCCGATACAATCATTTATCAAGTAATGTGTGATGGCTTGATTACCCACTGCTCTTTTAATCATACTAACCAGACATCGTTCTTTCTTTCATTTCATAAATGCCTTACACAATATGAGGCTTTATTTTTTTTATTTTATTTTTTTGGGGTACCATTCTGATTAATACTTTCTTAAAAATTATACTTAAACAGATATTATCTAATTTTTTATATATATAGGCTATATATACACTTGCATAATGCATCGTAGAATCTTTTGCATTACTAAGTCATTATCTGTAATTTAATCTATGGAAAATTTTAATATTTATATCGATATATATTTTGAGGTTATCCTTTTTGAAATTTAATGTTTGCGCCTTGCAGGAATAATGTAGTTTATGTTCTTTTTAAGATTTTTTCCTTTTTTTTTTTTTGTTTTGTAATTTATAGAACGACTCGTTATCTGATTGAAATTTAGCTAGAAAACTGTTTAGTAAATTTATGAAAATCTCAAATTTTTTTTATCTATATTTAATGATTTATTTTCTTTTAGATAGATGTTCTCGTGTTCTCTTCCTCATCTTTCGTGTTCATCTTAAATAAGGAAAATTGAAACCACTCGATCAAACTTTTTCTTTTTTTTTTCAGATATTCTGCATACATATTTACTTTGATTAGAACTATAAATATAAAATGGAATTAATATAATATATATATATATAATTGAATTGTATTTTACAGTTTGATCTAGTCTATACTTGATCTGCAACTCGAAGAGGCAATTTTATCACAAAAAATCAATCATATAATAAGCTTTTTTGAATAATAAACAACTTATATAACATGTATCTACATTTTACAAACATCATTGTTTACTGTCTAGAAATTTTCCCCTGAATGAAAAAATCCCCTGTTTTTAATGATATAAATTATCATTAAAAACAGGGGATTTCTTCATTTACGATACAGATCTACAGTCTGTAATAAATACATAAAGCAAATGAATAGCTGATTTTTATAGTAAATAAATAATATTTAAAGTATATAAACAATATATGCTTTTTTTCACCAAAAGGAACAAAGAAATTAATTAAACCAAACTTATTTTTTTGATGAAATGGCAAATTCTATAATCACTAAATCAGTAATAATACACTCTTAATCTGGATAACTTAATTGGATAATTTGAATATAATTAATTTAATTCACGTTTTTTTTAAAAAAAAAAGGTTTAAAATTTGTTAATTAGGTATACAAATTCTTATATAACATATTCCATTATTTAAATGTTACAGATCAGCATTTATTACATTAACAGAATGCTCTCTGTGACGTCAAAATTTAATTAATTTCTAACGACAATTAATGAATGTTCAATTGTCTAAGATACGCCAAATATTATTATTTGTTTAGAGTTTGGCATATGGTATAACATTATTTAAAATAGTAATAATAATGACTGTTATTTTGAGCTTAAAATCTATACATAATAAAGAAAAAAAGTATAAATATTAGTCACAAAACCTGAGTAGAGAGCAGATGTGATTGATAAATCGTTATTTTACTGTCATTAGGAAGATTAAAAAAATATATTAAAGTAAATTTCTTTTATCTTTATATCTTATTTTAAAATTTCTTTTATTTTAAAACTTAATGTTATTGTTTTTCAGAGCAGCCATTTAACAATTTAGTTTTATATGCATTAATTTTTAATGAATAGTTTATATAAATTATAAAATTTCAATATTAAAATAATAATATGCAATAATAATGATTTATAAAAATTTTAATTATCTGCATTTATTATTGAAAAGTTAATTATTAAAGTTATTATTTATTAAGTTATTTTTTTTAAAATCACTATGAACTTATATTTATTTCGATTGACAGATTTTATATAGAAGGAATTAAAAAATTCTATTCTCAGAATTTAATATACATATTTTAATTAAAATTACCAATTTTTATTAGTATTTCAATATAGTTCAATAGAAATGAAAGTTTTTATTAAAAAAAAATAACAGTTTATAATTAAAGGCATACAGGTACTTATAAATTAGTTTAATGTATTTATGAACTTGCAAAAATAAAGTTCATAAATACATTAAACTAATTTATAAGTATGCCTTTATAAACTGTATAGGCCTACAGATAATATATTGTTTAAAAAATAGAATATATTTTTCTACTAGAGAAAAAATTTATTTGTATTCTTCTAATATAGCGGATCTACATTATTATATATATTTATTATTAATAATTATGAATAAGTTCAAATCTAATAGAAGATAATCTCCCTCTTTCTCCTCTCAATTACTGTACTAATCACATATAGTGTATGATAAAAACATTCATTATTATTCATCATAAAAAAGTAATTTTAAATAAATCGAAGATGTTTATTTAATTTCTTAAAAGAGCATTTTTCCCCTTTTAATCTAATTTGTTGTACATCAGATAATCACAAAAAACCTTTTCGAAAATGCGGTAAAATAATTAAAACCAAACTTATTAAAACATATAAATTTTATAATACGTTTACTATGTAAATGTTTTTTAATCTATAATTATAATTAAAATAAAATTTTATTTAAAAATCATTTGATAACTTTCAATTTATCAACGGATTAATCTGCAAATACATTCAAATTTTATACAGGATGGAATTCATTTATTCTTCAAACACACCGCGAATTAAATTCACTCTTATAAGAATAAAAAAAAATCAATAAGAAATACATAAATATATTTTATGTCTAATTGATTTTTAGTAGAAAATAAATTATTATTAATTACAAGCTTAGTAACAAGAAATTACAACATTGGCACTAACATCACTCTTATTTAAACACTTTAAATTAATATTCACATTCGTTATAATTACAACTTTAATATTTACAAGTGATTAAAATTGAAAGCAATTAAAGTTTTTTTTAATGTACTTTACACTTAAATACATCCTTTCAGACGTTGGTTATTTTATATCTTATCCATATTGTTCCACTACTGAATCCCAAGGAGAGGTCCACTTACCTTTGTAAATAGATAAATAAATAATCAAACAAGTATAGGAAAAAGGTTTGAATGTGACAAATTCACTTATACATATGTATATCCGATATCTAAAAGTTTACGCTTTATCTATAGTGCTAGTGGCCATATCTACAGTGATACCAGGGGTGAATTTAAATTTTGACGTTCCTTAACATCGATTCTAGTTACGCTACTAAATCTGAATTATTAATAAATAATAATGAATTACTATTTCCATAAATTTATATAGTTATGTGCAATGCTTCGTAATATTTGACCATAAACATTTTCTCTAAACAGTAACAACCATTTACAACGCATACAAAACATCTACATTCATAGTAAGATTAAAATCTTGATCTACAGAATAAAACAAGTTGTGAAAGCTTGTAAAAAATTCCTAAATTCAGTTGAGATTTTGCAAAATTATAGCTTAGCTAAGCTTAAAATTGATTAAAACTATAATTCCGTACAGTTATTGATTCACAATGAGTGAGCTTGTATCTTATTGTCGTAGGAAAAAATTTTTGAAATGCGAACGACAATAAAGCTATAAATAATAATTAACAACTGATAATATAAAAGAATTGTAAATAGGATAAGTGAGATTGAATTCCGGATTCCCTAGATGATAAACAGTAATTTTAAACATTCCGTGCTAGCTACGTATGCATGGTAAAATGGAGATTAACTAAACGATCCACATGCTTCATTTCTCTCGTTAAAACTCATTCCGTTGATATAATTCTAGAATCTCACTTAAAATGAACGATTCGAGAGCAGTTTATGATTTAAACAAATCTATTTTTTAAACATAATTTACTTATTAGATATTATAATTTGATTTCGATTCTGAACATGAAAATTCTTAATACTTTAAATGACATAATACAGGCCTAAAATATTAACAATTTTTAAAGTAAATGCCTATTTGAAATTTAAACTTCCATTTACATAAATTTTAATATGAGTATTATAGAAACGAAACAGGAAAAATATATATATAGGCCTATATATATAATCTTTCCGAAAAAATAAAAAGGTAGTGTTTTTTTTATGAAAAAATAAATTTATATTCTTGTGACGTGTTTAAAGGTATTTTATAAAGCTTTACTTTAATGGTACTGTACATAGTTAGCTAGCTTTAAAACATATAATTTTCCTATATTTTTTAAAGAAAAAATTAGTTATAGGTCTACTAAATTAGCCTACATAATTTTAGAATAACCGCCCTAAAAATTAGTCTTTATTATATAAATCTATAGTTTATAAATAGTTTTTACACAATTGCAGTTTAAAAACGTGTATAAAAATTTTATATTTCGTATTATCTAAATTAGTTTAAAACTCTAATCTAATGAATTTTAATATAATTTAATTGCTTTTAATAACGAAAAAAGTTAGTTAATTACACTTATAATAATCTGTAGGAAACAATATCTTTTAGCTTTAGATAAAGAATAAATAATGTATTAACTACTATCATTACTAAACCCATAGGCAGATATATTATAAATTCTCATAATTTAGCATTAATATAAAGTAATTTCAAAGAAAAAAAAAATATTAAATTTATGTTTAAATAAACCTGTATACGGTTTTTAAACATCAATGAAGTTGGATGTAAATACATATATTTACAGCATTATTATAAATTATTTTTAAAACTTAATACATAATGTTAAAATGGCATGAAAATTTTAAAAGTAGACTCGTGTTTCTAGTAAAAGAATATCAAAAAGTATAAATAAAACACCTTATTACAAAAAAAAACCACTCAAAGTCTAGTAACCTTTATCATATAAAATAAATACTTAGTTAATCTTGTAATATATATATTTTTATTGTAATAGATATGTCTAAATTATAAAAATATAAACGTTTTAAGATCTAGAATATAAAGTTTGATAACCTTTTTTTTCTGTATTCCTGTCATGAAAACATGAATTTGATTCATCCTCGAAGGGTAGATCCTTGTCTTTATTGCGTATTAAGATGGTGGGAGGTTATATTTTAAGATCTGGAGATACTCAACTTAAGATATATAGTTCATTTTTATAAATTTATGTATATGATTCTTTTACATGATTTACGGTTTAATTTATAAAAAAGAAGGAATTTTTCTTATATAAAAGAAAGTTATTTTTGATACGATAAGTAACAAATTTATATAAAAAAATGAAGAAGACAAAAATGTTGGTATGTTGAATAATTTTTTAGACTAACTTATGATGTTTCGAGTAAAAGTATGCTACTGTATAAACGAGTAACATAATAATACCTCATTATTTTCTTATTTTTTTTTAATATAAAACATTCAAAGATGATACTGAAGATTATGCAAATTTAAATGTCTCTTCTCTACTTAGTAAGATGACATATCGTGTTGAGCATATGAAAGATTTTTGTACGTAGGTGTTATCTTTATTCAACTACAAGCAATTAATTGAAGGTGAAGAATAAGGAAGAAGAAAACAAAACAATAAGTATCTATAATACAAATTATAGATAAGTGCTATGTAATTGTTATAGGAAACGTGTAAAACAAAATTATCTATTATTTTCTTGATAAAAATATATTTTAAATTAGTCAAATATAAGGAAAGAAAGGATATAAAATGCTATTAAGAACAGTTTTAAAATTTTTAATATTAAAAAAAAAATCTAAGCAGTTATGCGCTTGGTAATGCTTTAATTTCTTTCATAATTAGACTTACAAATTAACAAATAATTCAGAGATTAAATGTGTTTTAAGGCTTAAATTATTTAAAATAAATGTTAATATCAATGCTTAATAATAAGGAAAAACATGAAATGTTTTTATAAACTGTTATTTAGACTTTAAATATCGAATAAAAGAAAAACTGTTAATTATTTGTAGTGTAATTTTTATAGCTAAAAAACTATTCTACATCTGAATTATAGGGAAAGTTTATTAATATTAAAATTTATTTTAAATAATTCATTATCTATATAATTAAGAAGTAGAATATTTTCTTAAATTATAGAATAAGATGTTAACAACAATTTTTTTTTTTTTTNGCATTAACAAGCAAAAACTAATTTATTCAAATAATAAAGTACTGTATTTCTAATTTTTGTTTTATAGACAACAATATTTAAACAAAAGAAATATCACTTTTGTATAAACAAAAATAAATGAAGTTTATAAGATACAATAACGACAGTACAGTATTAATTACTAGCATAATTACATCTATATTGTTCCTTAACACTAGCATTAAATCAAAAATTTTGCAGAACTCACTTTGCTCAATCAGAAGTGGAATAATAATAAACAAATTAAACATTTTTATTAAAAAATTAGTATAAATTGGAAATAATAGTATATATCTTTTTATTATAATCACAAGAGGAATAATATATTTATTTTTTACCACTATTGGCAAAAGAATGTTTAAACAAATTACTTCATTGCAGTTTATCATTAGCCAGTCATCATTATATTGCATAATAATATGTAAAAAACATTTGCCTTTATGATATAATTTCTGTTTAATTAAGCAGAAAAGAATTAGTGTTATAGTTATTGAAAAAGTTTCTATTTTCATTGCAGGTAAAGTGTTGTGTAT